AAAAAAAAAAAAAAAAAATTAAACCTTCATGTGTACCTGACCTTAACAAGCTTTTGAAGCAATCCCTCTGTTCTTCCTTAAAAAAAAAAAAACCTAACAAAAACACCCCCCCCCACCAAGCCCTACCCACATGCCCCAAAGGCATCTTACCTAAGATATAAGCAGCCACTAATTTTTGATTCACACTTAATTGGAGGTAGAGAGGCACCAGCGATTCCACATCCCCCAGCGTAGGCAGCATCAGGGCCGCAATGCACACCACTCCCAGGAAGACAGTTAGTAAACTAGGTCCTGAGGAGACAGCCCTGTTCTCTGTAAAAAGACAAAAATTCCGGAGTTGGTTTCTAAAAACTTTTTTTTTTTTGCAGTTTTTGGCCAGAGCCGAATTTGAACCCACCACCTCTGATATATGGGGCTGGCGCCCTACTCCTTTGAGCCACCGGCGCCGCCGTGTTTCTAAAAACTTTAAGACGGTTCTTTCACACAAACCGGCCACCACTCACCAGGATTCTGATTTTGTCTAAATTCTCTGACTCTTTCCACAGCAATCGCATTCCTTGGGGTCTTAATGACCCGACTAATCTGAAATCCCATGCTTTCACTCCTCCGAGTTGTTACCGGACAGAAGTCGTTACGCTGTGACGGCACTGTGACGTCGCGAGTTCTCGGGAAAAGGAAAGTGGTCACCACCTCCCTGCTCCCACCCTGATCTGTGGAAAGTATCTGTGCGTGTATCATCAACGCTTGTAGAGTTATAAATTATGTGAGTTCTATACTATTGCGTTTTATATAAAACACACAACTAGTATTTTTGTAAAATGTGCTAAAATAAAGTTCTGATTTTTTTTTTTTTTTTTGAGAGAGAGTCTCACCATGTCCCCCCAGTAGAGTGCTGTGGCATCACAGCAACCTCAAACTCTTGGGCTTAAGCGATTCTCTTGCCTCAGCCTCCCATATGGCTGGGACTACAGGCGCCCGCCACAACGCCCAGCTATTTTGTGTTGCAGTTGTCATTGTTGTTTAACATGCCCGGGCCGGATTTGAACCCGCCAGCCTCAGTGTATGTGGTTAGCGCTGTAACCACTTTGCTACAGGTGCCGAGCCAAGCCAAAAAGATCTGATATTTTATTCCTGTGCCCCAATGTGTTGCTTTCGTGAATTCCGTTTGAGCCCACTTGGAAATATCTTAGGGAAGTCTCTAGATTGGTTTGGTCCTAATAACTTCAGTATTCTGCTACCAACTTTGAAAATGTTAGGGGACCAAAACAGCGCCACTGGAACATTACAAAGCTGCCTATGAAAAGTGTTTGCCCTCTGCTCTTTCATTTATAGCAAAGAAGAAAGCAGCAGAAACAGGATCTGGCAAATATGCTAAGGGAAATAAGCCAAACACATAAGAACAAGAACGAATAATACATGATCTCACTGATACGTGCTGTCTAAAATCGTCAGACTTACAGAATCAGATTTAAATGGTGGTGGCCAGGGGCTAGGGCAAGAGGATAATGCATATTGCTAATCATGGGCATAAGTCTCAATTATTCAAGATGAATAAGTAGAGACCTGCTCTACAATAATGTCCCTGTAATTAACCAATACTGCATTGAACACTTAAACATTTAAGAGGGTAGATCTCATGTTAAATGTTCCTACAATAAAATGCAACTTTAAATAAAATACTGGCTGGGCACCCATAGCTCAGTGGTTAGGGCACCCACCACACGCTCTGGGGCTGGTGGGTTTGAACCCTGCCTGGGCCTGCTTAAAAAAAAAAAAAAAAGATAGCAGGCCGTTGTGGTAGGCACCTGTAGTCCCAGCTACTTGGGAGACTGAGACAAGAGAATCGCTTGAGCCCAAGAGTTTGAGGTTGCTGTGACCTATGATGCCATAGCACTCTACCCAAGGTGACAAAGTAAGACTCTTGCCTCAATAAAAAAAAAAAAAAATGGGTAGAGTGGCGCCTGTGGCTCAAAGGAGTAGGGCACTGGCTCCATATGCCTGAGGTTGTGGTTTCAAAACCAGCCCTGGCCAAGAACTGCGGAAAAAAAAAAAAAAGGCTCCGCCCCCTCTGTGTTCAATCTTTCATGATACTGATACTTTGCAGAGGCCCCGACATGCAATCCAGACTGAGGAAGACCTGTAAGTTTCTGGGCCACGTGAGCCACATCCGTAAGCACTGGAAGCACCCCGGAGGCCGAGGTAATGCTGGTGGCTTGCGTCATCACAGAATCAACTTCGTCAAACATCAGCCAGGTTACTTTGGGAAAGTTGGTACGAGGCATTACCACTTAAAGAGGAACCAGAGCTATTGCCCAGCTGTCAACCTTGATAAACTGTGAACATTGGTCAGTGAGCAGACACGGTTAAATGCTGCTTGAAACAAGACTGGAGTTGCTCCCATCATTGATGTAGTACGATCGGGCTACTACGAAGTTCTGGGGAAGGGAAAACTCCCAAAGCTGCCAGTCATTGTGAAGGCCAAATTCTTCAGCAGAAGACCTAAAGAGAAGTTTAAGAGTATTGGAGGGGCTTGTGTCCTGGTGGCTTGAAGCCACGTGGAGGGGAGGTTCATTAAGTGATTTTTCCTTGTGGAAAAAAAAAAAAAACTGAAATGTTGTCAGGCCTGCTATCCTGCAGTTCTGACTTATGTATGTGTACCATATACATCCCCATATTTTTAAGAAATACTTCTTCTCTTATATAGCTGTTCCCACCACCTTTCCTTTCATTAAAAGGAATAGCCAACAGCAACACAATCTTAGTTTTATTAATGAAATAATGTTGTTCATTCTATTATTAAATGAAGCTTTTCTAAATTATTAATACCTTAGCTGTTGTATGGAGTTTAATTGAACTTCACCAAAGCCAGATAAGTGAAAACAAATTCAGATTTTATAGTGATTATTGCTTGAGATGAAATAATAGCATAAATACCAAGAAAAACCCAAGTCTTATTTTAGTTAATAAATGAAGTAACCTTATATTTATATACATTGTAAGGATGAATTTGAGAAAAACATTTATGACAACTATACTGTTCACTGTAAACCCGCAATAAAGATAATTTCAAATAATTTTTAGTATTTAGAGAAATTTCAAAAACATGTGCATAAATGCTTAAAATTTTTCAAAATGGAAAGGGCTTTTTTCCCCTGGTACTAGATGATTGTTGTAAAAAATGTTAAACAGAAATAGAAAACATAAAGGTTCTTCTCTAATCCCATCCTCCTAGATACAACATTGTTAACAGCTTGGTATATATCCTTTCAGATTTCATAAATGCCCATAACATGTAAAAGAATTATTTTACATAAATTAGGCCATTTTGTACATATTGTTATATAACTGTTTTTTCCCCTCACTTGGAAATATATTTGAAGCTCTATGATAGTATATAAACATCCATCATTCTATCGGATGCTTGTAAATGTCTGCCTGGCATGCCATCTTATAAATATTTATATTTTAATCCATTCCCAGTTGATGGACTTTTAGGTCATTTTCAATTTTTTATTATTATAAACAATAATGAAGAGCATAATTTTCTTAAGCCAGAAGGCACAGATTCAAACATAGCACAGACATAGCAGTTTGTTAATAATGTAATTAACAAAGATTCAGCTGTATCTTTTAAAATGTCTTTTTTAATAACCTAGGCTCTAATATTTTATGAAAGTATACTTTGTGGCTTTCTCTTAATTGGTTAGACTTCTGTTAAACGAAAAAAAAATCCACAAAGTGTAAGACTGTATTTATACATATACACAAGGTCTGGAAAGTAACAGAGAACACTTATATAAGATTTGTTAAGTGCGTGGGATTATAGGTGCCTTTTTTTTTTAATGTTACCACTACATGTATTTTGTATAATCAACTTAAGAAAATAATTCTCATTTTTACTGACTTTCAGTATACTTTAAAGTCCAAAATTTTCACAATGTAGTCATCAACCATTTTCTAGCTAACAGTGAGTCTCACAAAACTGTTGCATCTCTAACACTTCTAATAACATGATTTTATTGAAATGTTTTCTACACTAAACTTGCAAAAACAATGACATCTGAAAGCCTCCTAGAAACGATCTCAATTTATTTAAACATTTTAATTCAGAGAAACTTAATGAAAAACCTGAGTATCCTACATACTGGAGACCATACACAAATTACTATAAATGTAATGGACAGAAGTTAAAAATATCACTTTGTCAACAGAGACTAAAGCAGTCATCATTATATCCTCATAAAGAAGAAAACTTTACTGAATGTACTGCCAGATTATTATACACTCTGGGGTAGGTACCCATAAACAGGACATGTCAGCCAGGACTGTAAGTCGGGCTCTCCTTCCTCTACAGAGGGGTGATAGCCAGGGAAACCTTGGTAAGCCTAAGAAAACCAATCCCACAGACTGCTACCGGACACGTAGTCTGGCCTTCCTAACTCAGCTCAACCACACATTTGCTATGTAACTTATTCTGTGCCAGGTGCTAGGGACACAATAGTGCCTGCCTTCATCGAGCTTCCTGATAGTAATGGCTTAGAGATTGCCCTCTCCCCCAACACACACACAAAAATAAACCAGGCTAGGTGTGGTGGCTCTCCCCTATAATCTTAGCACTCCAGGAGGCTGAGGCAGGTGAATTGCTTGAGTTCAGGAGTTTGAGACCAGTCTGAGCAAGAGCAAGACCTCATCTCTACTAAAAATAGAAAAACTAGCCAGGCATAGTGATAGGCCCCAATAGTACCAGCTATTTGGGAGTCTGAGGCAGGAAAATTGCTCAAGCCCAAGAGTTTGAGGTTGCTGTGAGCTATGATACCACAGCACTTTACCCAGGGTGACAGAGTAAGATTCTGTCCAAAAAAATAAATAATAGAGACCAGTATGCGTTATGCCACTGTTACCTATCCTCATTCATCTACCTAGTCCAATTTTATAATTAGAAGAAATCCCTAATATAGGCTCGGTGCCTGTAGCTCAGAGGCTAGGGTGCTAGCCACATACACTGGGGCTGGCAGGTTCGAACCTGGCCTGGGCTGCCAAACAACAATGACATCTACAAAAAAAAAAAAAAAAAATAGCCAGGCGTTGTGTCGGGTGCCTGTAGTCCCAGCTACTTGGGAGGCTGAGGCAAGAGAATCGCTTAAGCCTAAGAGTTTGAGGTTGCTGTCAGCTATGATGCCACAGTACTCCGCTGATGGTGACATAATGAGACTCTGTCTCAAAATAAAAATAATAATAATAAAAAGAAATCCCTAATATATTTTAGGTACCAAGGTTCATTATAAAAATAAGACAATAAATGCATAATGTAATGATTTAGGATTTTTACCTGAATTCTAATAAGTTTAAAACAAAAAGGAATAAAATTCTCTTTATATATACATACACACATAGACACATACCCCTAAACTTTAATACTTTTTATTTTGGCTCTTATACCAGTCTGTTAAATATAAAACTGAGTTTCAATGACCACTTTAAAGAATTTAACATCAGAAAACAAATACCCATTAAATGGCCTTTCTGGTTCTAGAGGCAGCGTTTTAAAAGGGGAATCTTGTATTTCATAAATAAGTCAACTTTACATTATTGACCTACAAGGTGGCATTTGAAAGAGGTTCTCTTTCAGTTTCAAAAGATGAAAAGCTGGTCCTATCAGTTAATAATAGCTGCTAAGAAGGTCAGGAATGGTGGCTCATGCCTATAATCCTAGCAATATGGGAGGCCAAAGCGGGTAAGTCACTTGAGGTCAGGAGTTTGAGACCATCCTGAGAAAGAGTGCGATCTGGCCTCTACTATGAATAAAAAAATTAGCTGGGCATGGTGGTGGGTGCGTGTAGTCCCAGCTAATTGGGAGGTTGAGACAAAGGATCCCTTGAACCCAGGAGTTTGAAGTTGCTGTGAGCTAGGATGAGGCCATGGCAGTCTAGCCCAGTCTCAAAAAAAAAAAAAAAAAGTTACTGAGAAGAGTATTACGTACTAGCTACTGTTTGGTTTAGAGTCCTGCTATCACCAGAAAATCCAGGCACTCTCTATGTGGCCTGAGAAGAGATATTTGGCTACAGTAGATTAAAGAGGCACTACTTCCTGTCTTATTGAAATAAACATTCCATCCTAGCAAACATTTAGGAGATTAAAAATAAATCAAAGAAATAAACATTCTAAAATGATCAAATTGATATGGATCTATGAATTAATATAATCAGAAGTAGATTTTTTTAAAAAATCTCTCATATATCATGTTTCAATTTCAAGGACAGCTGTTAATCACATTCACATATCACTATCAAAATGTTTCTGTGTTTTTCTATGGAAAATTTTATCTTCCTCCACTTATAATAACAGGTTTGGGAAGAGATAATGAGAAGTTAAGAGGAAAGGGGAATAACGTCCAAAGAGTTGAATATGAGAATAGTATCAATGTTGAAAGAACATATCGTAACACTTCTGAATATCTAAGCTGGAAGGAAATGAGGACTGGAGAGGGATTCAATTAATAGCCCACAGGGGATATTATAATCTACTTAGTTTAATTAACTTCAACTTTAATGAGATTTTTTTTCCAAAATAATATGAACAGTGCACTAAGCTTGGCCTGTTGCCAAACACAATCTCTCTTCTCCTTTGAACTAATTAAATGAGAAAGGATATAGGAAAGTCATAGCAAAAAAGAGTATAGAGTCGCCAAATTGCACTAGCATCACAAAGTATAGTACCTACAGTCTTGGATTTATATTTACATATTTAAAAATAGCTACAGCAACATTTGCCCTGTTCTTGCAGCCTAGTCCAGTGAGGGGTATTTTCTACTCTGAAAGTCCACTTGTAGGCTTCTTGATCTATTTTGAGTACCCAATTCTCTAGGTTCAGTTCTGAAGTAGTTAACTAGGTTTAAAATGTTAGGTTATTTTTCTAATAATTATTCTTAGACCCTTGATTTAAAATAATTTTTATAAAGAAATAGTTAAGATGTGTAAAAACCTCAAAAGGGCTTTAAAAACAATCCCAAACTACCTGGTTGAAACGGCTGCTCAAAAAATAAACTTTCACTTAAATGTTCCTTTATTCTTTTTTCCTCTTCTTCCTTTTGTTGTTCTTTTGCAGATGGGAGGAGAGTAGCAACCACCTCTTTCCTTCCCAAAGCTTTCCTCTGGCTTTGCTCAGAAACTTGGAGGCGGAATTTGTCTACTACACCATAGTGACAGGATCGAACATCTCTATGACGAATCACACTGAAAACAGCAAAAAATAGCAAATGCTGTTTAGGTTTCTGGGGGCCTGTCAAACAGAATGCAGCAGGATATTTCAATACAGTAAAACAATATTAACTGACGACAACCACATACTCAAAAACAGGAATTTGCTAAGATGCTAAATAAAAGCAAGCACAAGATAACCCCCAAAGAAATAGGTAATTCTGAAATATATGATGACGGCACATACTCAAAAATATAGAATAAAAGTCTTAAGTAGAAGAATGATGGGTAAAGAAAAGTCTCTTTAGCTATGATTTTTTTTTCTAGATATCTGTATGCAGCAATATTTATTAAATAGGAATATATAATATTGTTTCTTCCCCACAAACATCTCATGAATTTCTATTGCTGCTTATTTATTGTGCACGTAACAAACTAGACTTAAAATTGAATTCCATGCATGCTGATAAAAACAAGCAATTGAATAAGTAAATAATCTACCATGACCAATGCAACATAAGGCTAACAATACACCTCTGTATTTCTCTAAAGAGAAAATAGTATAAAGCACTGTAATTTTTATGATTTTTTTTGCAATTCCATTTATTTCACTTTGTTCTTACTAGGGAACACAAAACAGGTCAAAGGGAACACGTTTATTTGGCAAGAGACTACATTTCTTTGGACTAGTCCTTGCTTATTGTGTACTGAATGAAAATCAAAAAAATGTGCAAAGACACGTTCCCAAAGATACATCATTTCACGTCTTTGAGCTGATGAAAATATATTCACAGAAAGGATTCTGGTTCTCATTTTCACAGATGATTCTAACACACACAGTGTATTTGGTAGCTGAAATTAAGAGCTGCTCAATGAATCCATCTGGTCACCACTAGTTCTAACGTGAAAATTAAATAGGAACAGCTTGAACAAACAATCATTTTTCTGATACTCTAAAATGAAATTATCTGGAAGAGCTCAGATAACCTTTAACAGATGAGTAGTTACACACTTGCTTCCTGTTTATATAGATTAACTTCCAGGCTTATTAGCGGAATCTTTTCAGACGAACTTATATTATTATCGTTCTTAGACTATAGTACTATTAATTTTCCAAATGTCACTATAATAGCAAGATGCTCCAAAGAAAACTAAATTGCCTAATTATAGCTGGAAAAAATTTAAAGGGATAAATCAGAACTTTACCTTCATAAACATCCCTGCTATGACTAAAACCACAACGATAAGAAAATGTTCACTAAACTACTAACACATGCTTTAGCGCTAACATAATGAAATATTATTAACTATTTGGTTGACCTGTTCAGACTCTTAGAAACTGATTTAAAAAGCATTTTTATAGACAAGCTTTCAGCAAAAATTCAAAATATAATAAATGCCTATGTGGAAACAGCTTCAATAAAAACATCCTTTTTTGCAAGTTAAAAACATATATATTAACACACTTAAAACGTGTTACTAGGAAGTGATCTTGACTTACATATCCACACAACACTGAGGCTTTACTGCACCTGCAGCATCAACGACAACATACTTATTTGGAGTAGTACACAAAACTGAAAGAAAAAGTCACAATGGCCATTAGTATTTTTTTTTAAATTAGTTTCTACAAATAAAAAATTAGTATGGACCAGTTAAAAATCCATAAGATGGACCTGGGAGACTCACCTTTGAACTTTAAGGCAAACTCGTAGGGGTTATACAGAGTCAACACTTGCTTATGTGTTGACTGATCATCTGCATAAAATATTAGCTCCGTGGGAAACACGAAAACAGGAAGATTTCCTTCCACTAACTCTGGTTGTCTTTTTTGTTGATGCATTGGCACTGAATCCCCCTTGCTGCAGCTTCTGTTTTTACAGTCTCCAATCTTATTTTGGATTTTTCTTAGTTTCAGTGAAAAACTCCAAACATTTTGGCAATCTAGAAATAGAAAAATAGAATGAAACGATATTGATTTTCCTTAACCTATAGTCCCTTCACCAAAAGCATGTTTAACATGCATTAAAATCTATCCCCAAATCATTTAAACATGCTTTTTGACTTTTCCTCCTACTTATATAGTTTTACCAAATTATCCAAAGATGTATATACATGTTCTTTTCACATTCAGGACCTCAACCTATGATAAATTAGATAAATACTAAAAGGAATAAAGAAGTCTCTCTAATTAATGATCCCCTTTCAAAGAGATGGGATCAAAAGGGTATCAGTCTTTTTAAACCCCAGATTATTATTATTATTTTTTTTTTTGGAGACAAAGTCTTGTCACGTGGGCTAGAGTCAGTGGCATCATCATAACTCACAGCAACCTCAAACTTGTAGGCTCAAGTGATCCTGCCTCAATCTCTCAAGTAGCTGGGATTACAGAAGCATACCATCATACCCCACTATTTTTTCTAGTTTTCATAGAGATGAAGGTCTTGCTATTGCTCAGGCTGGTCTCGAACTCCTGGCTTCAAGCAGTCCTCCCACCTCAGCCTCCCAAAGTGCTATTACAGATGTGAACCACTGAACCTGGCCAGCATTTTTTTAAGAGCCAGCGTCTCACTCTCTTGTCCAAGTTGGAGTACAGAGGTATCATCATAGCTCACTGCAACTTCCAACTCCTGGGCTCAAATGATCCTCCTGCCTCAGCTTTCCCAGTAAGTGGGACTACAGGCATGTGCTATCATGCCCAACTGATCTTTAAAAATTTTAAGACAGGGTCTTGCTATGTTGCCTAAGCTGGTCTCAAACTCATGGGGTCAAGCAATGGTCCTGGCCTCTCAAAGTGCTGAGATTACAGGTGTGTGCCACTGTGCCTGGCCAAATCTCAGATTTTTTTTTAAAAAGTAGACTAAATTAAGAATCATCACAACTGATTTTACATGAGCTGATCAGTATTCTTAGAGACTAAAACATAAAACACAAAGATGGCTCGGTGCCTGTAGCTCAGTGAGTAGGGCACCAGCCACATACACAGGGGCTGGCGGGTTCAAGCCCAACCCAGATCTGCTAAAGAACAATGACAACTGCAACCAAAAAATAGCCTGGCGTTGTGGCGGGCACCTGTAGTCCCAGCTACTTGGGGGGGCTGAGACATGAGAATCACTTAAACCCAAGAGTTTGAGGTTGCTGTGAGCTGTTATACTACAGCACTCTACCGAGGGTGACATAGTGAGACTGTGTCTCAAAAAACCAAAACAAAACAAAGTTTAAGTTTCCATGATTTCTGGAAGAAAAACATGAGAATCACTTTTACACTCATGTGAACAATGCTTTATTTAGTGCTATCTTGGCAATAGGAATAGGAATGGGAGAGTTCTCTTAATCATTTTTTCTTTTTCATTTTTTTTTAACTTTTAATCATTTTTTCTACTGAAACTCCAGACAAGCTAAAATGGCTTGAAAAGAAGCTAAATAGCCACACTTGCTAAGCAGTCCTTGGAATTTTCTATTAAATTTCTAAGTAAAGTAGTAAGCAGACTTTGGCATACCAGTGGCAAGGTGCCTCCCCTCCTACATCAAATTCACATGTTTTGTGAAAGATATTTTCTTCCAAGTTCAGAAGCCTTTCTGGATTCCCTCTGGGGTTCTTTAAAATGTTCCATGTAATTGTAGCTGACGTAAGTCTGATGAGCATGTTTCTGTATTTCTCAATCTCATTTTAATCAATATTCTTATTTAGCAAGCACTGTAAGTGTGGCTTTTAAAAATAAAATGCAAAAGCTGAAACATACAATTAAAGAAAATGTCTGATTTTCACCCTAGAGATCACACCTTTAAAATAGGCTGTAAACTGAATACTTTCAGGTTCAGGTTCTCGTACATTCATAAAGAAATAAAACAAATGAATAAATTATTTGGTTTTGCCAGCTTTCACGGCTCATATGCTCCGATTCTATTCGTGGCCTTTCTAACTTCTGTCAAATAGGATCTGTATAATCATGTATGCAAATGTTTATTCTTTTCTTTCAGCTGGACATCTATTATATGCCAGGAACTACGTCAGAAACTGAGTAGAGACACAAAGATGAATAATGTACAGGCCTTACCCTCAAGAAGATCAAGTGTAAATGATGAGGCAACCTCTATTACAATGCTTACTATGGTATATGAAGTGCTAGGGAATCAGACTATGTAAATAATTCTACGTGGCAGAGCGGCCAGATGACATTCGAGGTGGTCTTTAAAGAAAAGGGTACATGCTTATATGTTGGGGGGCAGGCATTCAGACCAAGCATATGCAAGGCACAGAAATGTGAAGGTGAAAAGCAAGGAAGGCACTTAGTCCACTGGCTGTCTCAGATGATCACGTGGCCTTACAGCCATTCTTCACAGCATGCACGTAATTCCTAACAGTGTTGGATTTTTGTGGGTTTTTTTTTTTTTTTGAGTAAGCTGAAAGGGTCTATCAACATTTTTATTAGTAATAAAAAAATGTTAGTAATGATATCTAACATTTGTGTAATTCGTAACAGATGACAAACTTTTTATTAATTACATAGTCTGAATAGATTAGTATACTATATGTAAAGCTCTTAGATAGCACTTTCTATAAGCCAGGCAATGGTCCGAGTGTTTGTTATTATTATTTAATTATAAAGAGACTAGACAGGCTCAGCGCCTGTGGCTCAACCGGCTAAGGCGCCAGCCACGTACACCTAGGGTGGCGGGTTCGAGTCCCCAGCCCGGACCCGCCAAACAACAATGACGGCTGCAACCAAAA